CCCTGGAAACATTCAAGGCCAGGTTGGATGGGGCTCTGAGCAACCTGATCTAGTTAGCGGTGTCCCTGCTCCTGCCGGGGGGTTGGACTAGATGACCTCTAGGGGTCCCTTCCAACCCCAAACATTCCATGATTCTATGATTCCATGATAATTGAACCCAACAGTATCTGTCCACTACTAAACCATGTCTCTAAGCACTTCATCTACCCGTCCTTTAAATACCCCCAGGGATGGTGACTCAACTCAACCACTACCCTGGGTAGCCTGTTCCAGTGCCAACATGATAATTGAACCCAACAGTATCTGTCCACTACTAAACCATGTCTCTAAGCACTTCATCTACCCGTCCTTTAAATACCCCCAGGGATGGTGACTCAACTCAACCACTACCCTGGGTAGCCTGTTCCAGTGCCAAATAACACTTTCCATAAAGAAATTTTTCCTAATATCTAATCTAAAACTCCCCTGGTGCAACTTGAGGCAATTTCCTCTCATGCTATCACCTGTTACCTGGGAGAAGAGACCAACATCCACCCCACTACAACCTCCCTTGAGGTAGTTGTAGAGAGCGATAAGGTCTTACCTCAGCCTCCTCTTCTCCAGGTGAAATGACCCCAGTTGCCTCAGCCGCTCCTCATAGGACTTGTGCTCCAGACCCTTCACCAGCTTTGTTGTCCTTCTCTGGACATGTTCCAGCACCTCAATGTCTTTCTTGTCTTACTGAACACAGCATTCAAGTTGTGGCCTCATCAGTGCCAAGTACAGGGGGAGAATCACTTCCCTACTCCTACTGGCCACATTATTCCTGATACAAGCCAGGATGCCATTGGCCAGGATTCTTGGCCATCTGGGCACACTGCTGGCTCATATTCAGCTGGCTGTCAACCAGTACCCCCATGTCCTTTTCTGCCAAGCATCTTTCCAGCCACTCTTCCCCAAGCCTGTAGCATCACATGGGGTTGTTGTGACCCAACTGCAGGACCTGGCACTTAGCCTTGTTGAACCTCATAAAATTGGACTTGGCCCATGTATCCCAGCTCTCCAGATCCCTCTGTAGAACCTTCCTCCCCTTGACCTAATCAACACTCCTACCCAAATTAGTGGCATCTGCAAACTTAGTGAGGGTGCACTCAATCCCCTCACCCAGATCATTTATAAAGACATTAAATAGAACTGGCCCCAGTAATGAGGCCTGTGGAACACCCCTTTGTGACCAGCCGCCAACTGGATTTATCTCCATTCACCACAACTCTCTGGGCTCGGCAATCCAGCCAGTATTTTACCCAGTGAAGAGTACACCCATCCAAGTCATGAGCAGCTAGTTTGCCCAGGAGAATGCTGTGGGAAATGGTGTCAAAGGCTTTACTAAAGTCCCAGTAAACAACATGCACAGCCTTTTCCTCATCCACTAAACAGGTCACCTTGTCATAGAAGGAGGTCAATTTAGTCAAGCAAGATCTGCCTTTCATAAACCCATGGTGACTGGGCCTGATCTTCTGGTTGTCCTGGATGTGCTGTGTCATGGCATTCAAGATGATCCGCTCTATGACCTTCCCCAGCACCAAAGTCAGATGGACAAACATTGCTTATTGACTACTGTTCTTTTCTACGGTTGTCCTAAGTCCTGATTTTTGAAACTCTTTTAATAAAATGTCCTTCTATGCAATTTTCTAAAGAATAAAGTTTCCCTTAGAGAATGTTCCAGATGAACAGTATGAAAGCTGGAGGTAAACATTGTCTGTCAAAAGGATTTGGAGGCAGAAAATGTTTCCACTGGAAATATTCTTGTCTAATTTAATTTATAGTCTAAAATATGTTTGTGCTTTATAACCAACATGGTCAGGTTGATAATCCTATATAAGTTTATAAACTATAATTGTATTTATTGCTATGGACATAGAAGACTATCTACTATTTGATGCAAGGCATAACTTTTAGATGGCTGGTAATGTGATTCCCAATAAAAATTACAAAATTTTAATTAAAATTGAAAAGTTCTGAAAGGTAGAAATATAAATAATATGTATTATATATGTGCATACTGCAACTTACATGGACATTCTGAAGAGGTTGTAATAACAAGGCAGGTTTTCCTCATGATTTAATTATCAAGTGACCTGAGTGAGTATTTAGGTTGGAAGAGTATAATTTGGTTTATTTCATAAAGAAAAGCTTTACAACTTTTTTTCTTATTGATTTTCTAATACTATATAATGAGTCTCAGTTCACAAAAATTACATTAGTCAAAATACATCTTTTGAATTTGTAAATGTAGCCTTATTTTGGAAGCAAGACCACTTGAAGAAAATGTTGAGTATAGTATAAAAGAAGCATCACAGAGTATTGCTACTAAGTGTACATGAAGAAATGCAAAAAGGCAGCAATATAGTTCCAGGAAAATTATTATCTTTTCAGTAAACCTGAAGTTTTCTTATGCTCACTAAACCAAACATGCTGGACATGTTTTCATTTATGCTCTTATTTTTGTTTGCATACACTGAAATTTTTTTAGGATTCTTCCTAACTGAATTTTCAGTATTTTTAATGAACTTTGTCAGAGTAAGCTTAAATCATTATAATATTGCTGTTTTGGTTTATATCATTATACCTTTATGCAATCAGTGCAGTAACTGGTGCAAAGGGTGCAAGGGTTTATAATATCTAATCACATAAATTGTATTGCTCTTCATTTCAATGAAGTGAGGCCTGTTAGGAAATACTGGGTTTGGCCCCTTGTTAACAATAATAATTAAAAAAACTTGTAAGACATGCAGCTTTGTGCAGCTGACAGTGACTATTCAGTAAGAAAATAAGGAGATGAGAGGGTAAATTTAAGGAAAATATTTTAAATTCTGCTTTGCCCACAAGCTCTGTCAGGTGCAGCACAAGAATCTTTTAATTCACACCCGTTGTGGGTGCTGCACATCCTTATTGTGTAGCACTGTTATTAGTGGGGAAAATATTCTTAATCTAAACTTCCAGAGAGGAAAATCCATTAAAACACCTGTCTCACATACATTGATAAATTTTGGTCCACTACTACAGTATACTACAATTTCTTATTAATAAAAAAAATTGCTGCTTATATATGTATTTTTATATGATGATCTGCTTGTTAAAACCCTTACACAGAAGTTGGTAGACAAACACTTCCCCTATTGAAGAGCAACAAAACTCATATATTTCACGTCCAAAATGCTCTTTCCTAACTACTGTCTTTCTTACATATACTATGTGGAATGAACTATGTGTCCCACCAATTGAAGATGACATGTCAATTAGCAGCAGGAAATGCAAATACATTTGGTCAGAGAACAAACAGAAAGACAGAATAGAAAAGAAAAATCTGTAGACTACCAGTTAGGTCATACCAGTCTTGGACAGGAAGGACAATGTTACTCATGATATTTGAAGATTACCTTCTACAGTTGGATAGTTTTGTACTCCAAGAAGTACTTTAGGACTAAGAAAGTACTAGCAATGGTGAGTGTGGCACTGTAGTGCAGTGAGCGTTCCTATGTCCTGTCCCCTCATTATTACTTAAAGGCAAAGTTTGTGATGTAGTGAGAAGAGCTCTCAGACTAGAGATCTCTCCTTTCATCTGAGTAGTCCAACAACTAGGCAAGAGGCAGAGGAGAGATGTCCCAGTGGAGAAATGGAAAATGGAGTTATCCTGTATCCTGTAGTTGAAAAAATGCTCTTGCAAAGACAGAAAAAAATGTATTTGAATCTACTGAAGCTCAGGTGGGTATGCTGGGCTGTCTGCTTTCTTTACAGATAACACTAAGTGTTTATATAAAATACAGGCATTACTATCTGAGTTTTTCAGTGGAAGAAAAGCCATTTGCTGTGTTTTATGGTTGCTTTGTGTTACACTTTCAGTGTGAGGTTTGGGGGTTTTGTTTTTGTTTGGGTTTTTTTTTTGTGAAATATAGAAATATGATTCTGTTGCAATTGTATAGCAAACTTGAATTTGTTTTCTATAACTAGGTAAGGCAAGAGAGAAGAATGCTTACAAAATCCATTATCTGGAAAAAGGATTAAATCTCTGGGTTTAGGCAATATGAGATCTCTAAAGTAGAGAGACAAAACTGTGACTGAATTTTTGTAGCAGATTTTATCAAAACTTATTTCTATTTTCTTTTCTTTTTTTTTTAATTAGGCTCAATAGAAAAATCTCTTACATGGTTCAGTCTAAGTTTAGTGGGTCAGAGTTACAAGTTTAACTCTCATTGTGTTACTTGTCTTTGAGATTATGTATATAAATCTCTGTGCCTTGGCATGACTGTATATAACTATGTCATATCTCTCAGATGTCCCAAATTTTATAGAGACTAAATATAGTACAGTATTATGAAAAAGTGAAACTTTTGAATTTTTTCACTTCAACATTTATTAAGAACAGAATTGCTGAGTCAAAACTAAGAGCATAAATATTTTGTTTAAACAAAATCTATTTTGCTTTATATTAAGCTTTCTATATGAAGTTTTTCTTGTATTTTGCCAATTCAACTTTATGACTGCCAATGTTGAGCATAATCCTGTTTTTACTGAAGTTAATACAATTTTGTATTAAATACATATGGATCATGTTAATGTAAAAAAGAAGTGCAGAATATTCTTCAGTAAAAGCAGGAAGGCAAGATAGTACCCAATACAGAAAAATTGTTTGAAGCCCTACTTGCATAAAGAACTATTATATAGAATTAATTTTTCAAACAAGAAATGAGTGTTTGCTCTAAATCTAGTGAATAATGACATTTCTGTTGGCTTCAGTAAAATAATATCTGCTAATACAAAACAGGTAATCATAACACATAGACATAATTGAATATAAATGTGACCGCTCGTTATTAAAAGGGGACAAGACACCAGGGTATGTCAGCATAATGATGAAGATCATTTTGTAATATAAGGGGTTTCCTAAAAACTAAATTTGAAAAGGGCCTAGATAGTAGTTCACTTGATCAAGCTTTCTGGGTACTCTAACGTAAATATGTTGCAATTGTAAAAAATAGCTGTCATGTTTTCTGCAATTGGAGTTTAAGCCATGTTTTTGTGTAATAAGATGTGGACTGAAAATTTCAAAGCTTTTGGTTTAAGTTATCCATTAAAAGTGAAAATTTGATGCACATGAAAATCAATACATTAGAAGAGAAAAAAAATGAAAATATGAACAACAAAAAAATTAAAAAGTAAGTCAATAGAAACAAGGGAATTTTACCACCAAATTAAATATTTGCCTTTAAAATAATGATAGTGAAGCATCCAAAAACTTCTCATCTGCTGAAACTGAGACTAAAAAATAATTTTAAAAAATCCTCAGGAAGCATGCATTTCTCCAATATATGCTCCAAAATATATGTATGTTTAGATGAAATAAGATCATACAAATCCCCATAAACCTAGTATATTCACATCTGTGTAGCTGCTATTTTGAACGGAATAGCAAAGGTCACAGCTCAACAAGATGGCAGGCTGCACTTCTATTCTCTGCAAAGCGATGTGCTATATTTATAATAAATAATATATAAATATATTATTTAGCAGTATTTTTATTATAAATTATCAGAAATATATTATTTGAAATGTATGTTATCTAATATAAAGTCAATGCCAATAAAGCAAACATAGGGTTTCTTATATGAAAGCATCTCTGAAAATATGATTTTGTTAAAGAAACATCCCCATTTGAAAATGAGAGACTCTAACATAAGCTTCAAGTAGGACAAACTGTTCTTAGACTAGGAATAATCTGTAACAGATTGAACATTCTAAAAAAAAATTGCAAATGCACAACACTAATTATCTTACAGATATAATATGAGAAACTCTAAGATATGTATTAAAAAGGAGGAAAGACTGAAATAATTTGGTTGCTCTGAAATTAAAGCTAAATTATTCCAACAGGAAAAAAAAAGTATAGGTCCAGATTATGAATCATTCCAAATAATTTGGAGATATATTTAATTATTTTCTCCAGGTACATTTATAGCTGAGCCTAAAAGCTTCTGGAGCAACACCACTAAAGCTTAAAGTTGCATATCTACATGCTACATGTATCTGCAATGCTAGAGAATATGGGTATTTCAAAATGGTATGTGGACCCAAGAAATATAAACTGCTTTCAATAGACTTAAGGTTTGGTAAGACATCCACAGATAACTGTCAGAATGGCTGGTGTTCTTTACCTGAAAATTACCATGCTTCAGGTTGAAGGAGAAATACAACTGTGTGGGTTTGCGGGGGTTTTTGTTAGTGGTGGTGTTGGGTTTTTTGGGTTTTGGTTTGGTTTGGTTTGGTTTGGGTTTTTTCCTACTGGGATTGAAAAGAGGAATAAAATTATGCTTGGGAGCACTCATGTTTTACTGAGGGAAAGTACCTTCCAAATAGCAGTCAATAAATTGATTGTGACTATCTGTATCGCTAGTAGGACAAAGGAGTCTATTCCAAAGGCAAAAAAATGAGAAACAGTTATTGTCATTTTGATGAAGTTTAGTGTCTTGTCTGTTCCTGGAAAGCTTGTCGTACCTACTGAATCTTTAACTCTGTACTGATATAGAAATATTAAAAGATTCATTTCAATAGAGACTAGATGAGTGAAAGTGAATTCAAGAGACCATAGAAGGACAAATTTGTAAATACTAGATTCAATGAGAAAGGCAAACATCTGCCGCTGGCACTTGAATAACTAAAGCCAAAGAAAGCCTTTGACTGTGTAGAGTAAGAAACTCTGAAAATTGTTCTGTGAGATTTCACTGATAGTTTCAAAACTATTGAAAGCTGTTGCTGTGATCTTCGGGCCACAGTAAAGTAAGACTGCTGAACAAGTATGTCTTCTGCCCCACCATTTCTGTTAATATGAATGTGCAATAGAATTGGAAAATAAAAGGGATATAATAGGTTAACATAATAAGGATACAATATAAACAATAAGGACACAGTGCTACTTTTTTATGGAAGAGGATATGATAGACGCATAGTAAAGGTATCATCTGAGTTTTTATATAAAGCTTGCTTTTCTTTTTTTCTTCCATATTCCCTCCTAAATCCTCAAACCTGCTCATACCAAAATACCTCTGGGTACAAAACTAGGCAGGAGATGATATTATAAAATGTTTGCAATGGTTGCCTTTTTTATTTTTTTTTTTTTTAATGGAAGGTCCAAAGGACAGGACGTGTTACTTATGGATATTTGTTAGGAAAGTAATGTAGCTAAATAGGTATAGAATTTAGCACATTTCAGTCCACTATGGATATCCATGATAGAGGTGAATCAGAAGGCATAAAAGCGACTAAACTCCATGTATTGTCTATAGAAGGCAACTCAAGGGCTTATGCTGGTTTCCTAAAATTTGACAATATGAATAAATAAAAGATTTTCCAGTGAGTTTTTGCATTGTATATGAGATAACTTTGCTTCAGAAGATAGAGTGAATTTCAGAAACTTGAAAACTTACAAAAGTATGCTGATATGGAAGAAGAATAATGAGGAACTAAACGGTGCATTAGGACCTCTTAATGATCTGTAGATAAAGAGAAAGCAAGGATTAGTAAAAAAGAGTAACACAGCTGGGGGCAAGGGGGAAAGACTAAAGAGATTTATAAAAGGCAAAACCAAAAAACAATGGAAGGGAAAAATGAACAATACAGCGGTAAAATAAAAAGTGTGGATTAACTAACTAGACAGGCAGTATTATGGCAGAAAAGAACTGGGTGTTTCAATGGACTGCAAACTTATTGTGAATTAGCAGCATTATTTATGCTTTTGCCCAAATAAATCAGGGATAATTCCTTTATAGGGGAAAACTCTGCAGTGTATTACAATAGTGCATAATGGTACTATTGCAGCTGTGATAACCTAAATTATATTCATGGG